AAATGCCTTATCAAACATATAGTCTAGCTGAATGGTCTTCAGCTCCATCCATATGCCCGAAAACGTATTTTCTCGAGTATGTTGGATTTATATGCAATAGAGAATGCGTTGGTTTACTCCAGTGGACGCTATCAGATGCAAGTTGTGAACGAACAATGAGTTTTGTCTAGCATTTTGTATTATATATTAGATTGAGTTGTCTACATCTCTTAAGGGGTCCATACACGTTCAATAAAACCATCAATATTATAGATTGGCTCAATGTATTGACGGATTCTCTACACATATTGTGTTTCAATAGATTTACGCTCTATTGTCCAAGTATTGTTGAATCTTCAATAAAACTAAAGATAGCTTCCATCCACTTCCAGCTGTCAGAAATGATAACAAAGTGGCCCAGTCATGTTTTAGGTAAATGCCAAACCTTTTCCAACTTGGCCGAAATCGCATGCATACCAGGTTTCATCAAGATCGGATAAAAACGGTAGCCTCTATCCTGCCAAATTTGACCTGTCCAGGGCAATGACTCCCACACCGTTCGTCCGATTATTATTAAATTAATCAGTATATATGCATGCATACCAAGTTTCGTTAAGATTGATTCAAAACTGTAGCTCTATCGAGTATAGAAGAAATGTAGACGAACAAAGACAACAGCAATATTATGTCTAAATTTCCATGTGGACGTATAAAAGTGATTTTAATCCGTCAATATATGGAATCAAGCATATTCATCAATATGGGAAACACACTCAATAATATTGACTTAATATTGGTAGTAAAATGTGTCACTTAATCTTTTCCGAGGCACGGACCCAAGGTTTGCTTAAAATTCTTTACCGTTAAAGTTCTATGTCTTACAACTAGTAAGTCTAGCTCAGTTGTTGGTGAACTGACCGAGTCTTAAGCCACCAATTGAGCCCCTTACTTCTTAATTATTTATTATTTTTTCCACAACAAAAAATAACAGCAAATGAGTCTTTGTCAATTAAAGTCAGTTAAACACATTCCCTCGGTTTTATGATATCTAAAATCTCCCCTCGTGATTAATTCCTCTTGATGCAGGTATTTTATCCTATAGTTAAAATTAATATTTAGAGGATTGAATGAAATGTCCAAACTCCTGTGCACCAGATTATGTTTTATTTTGATTTAGGCCGATTATTTTAACTGACAGTATATACAGATTACTTTCAAAAAATGAAGAGGAAAAGGAGGTTATTAAAAAATTAGCCGCCGAAGACTGGTTACAATTTTGGAAACTAAGGGGTAAAGAGCTAAAACAAGGTATTCAAATGTATATAAGTAACATTTACATAAGAAAATATTTTACCGAATCTAATTTCTTTTATTGCATTTCACTAAAATGCAGATCTAGATTTTTGGTTATTTTCTGCTTGCATCCATAAAGCCATTGCCATTTCTTTCTTAATCGAAATTATTGATGAGACCAGAGAGATTGCACTTACTAATGTATTGTTCACGAATGTCTGCTTGTGCTGTACCATTACCTTAGCTCGTGTTCAACCGTTAAACATAACAAACCGTAACAATGTTCATGTTGATTGACCAGTTTGGAAGTAACGTGACAGCTTGCCAGTCTACAAAGAAGAACTCGGTTTTATTTCCTAATACTATAATATGCATTAAAGCTAGTTTACTATTAGGGATCGTGGTAATAAAATGAAATATTTTCAGAGTTGTATTTTTATCCAGGTGGATGTGCTATCGTGTCTAGTGTAGGGGAAACTGAGACGAGAATGTCAATACAAAACAATTTTAAACTTCTGAATGACATTCTAGAGAAATGTGTATCTGACAATATTATCACAAAGGTAATGCTTCTTTGGTTACTGTTGTATAATGAAATTATTTCAATTTTCAGACAGATATAACTATATCTATTACCAACTTCCTGGCCTTTCATACATTAGTTAGAATATAAGACCTTCTTATGCCATAATTTTGGTCACTTTGTACTTATCTAGACCGAAAAGGAAAATACCACCTATGCAGCGTGTTTTAGAAGACAAGATGAAATAAAAGAACCCTTTGTGAATTCAAACGTTTTGACTGACTTAGGTTTACACCTCCATCAAGTAAAACAAGAGTTAGTTCCTTGTTTCTATACAGCTGAGTGGAAACAAAGATTAGATACAGGTATGTGTGCTTAGTTATTAGTGTAATAAAATACAAACAACTTTTAACAATTGAACTAAATTAACTACCTCAAAACAAAGATAGGGTTCTAGTAGACTGTCCTAGTTAGATCATAGAAAGTGAAGCGTTATTTATTAAGAAATTATGCAATTTTCGTACATTTCTAGTTCTTCTACAGACCTTTTACATATATTCAAGACTCAAATCAACTGCAGTACCTTTAAACAATTTATCCAATGCTGATTGGATGAAAAAGTGTTCTACTATGATTATGTTTTATACTTTAGGT